GGCGGAGGCTCCGGGGAGAGCTCCCGGGAGATGCAGATGGAGGCAGAGCTTCGTGCATCGCCGCGCTTTCGAGCGAGGGGCTGTGGGAGCTCCTCTGTCAAAGGGGGACTTTTCCCTTCCTTGCAGAGGAAGCCGGGGACAGACGCATCCCGGGCCACCCCAGTCGACATTCAACAGGGCATGCTTTGAAGACAGAAGTAAAAGTGGTTTTTAAGCCAAGAGAAACGCTTCAGAACCAACGCATCCAAACTTTGCTAAAGCAGCGGACGGACAGGAGGCTCCAAATCAGACCTGATGCCACCTGCAGACGGATGGGCTGGTGCCTTCCACCTCCCCACTCCCTCCCTGTGGCACAGCACAGCTGTGTGCCCCCCGCCCTCCGCTCCAGGTCGCGGCAGAAGCACAGCCCCTGGTGAGCCAGGGTGGACGACAGGCACTCAGACCTTTCTGTATCAGTGACTTGATCTATCCTTGCCTGGGATCTCAGGGGACCCCTATGATTTGCCACTTGCAAAGGAGCTGAGAAAGGTGATTTACAGGGAGGTGATGGCATCCTGCAGTGACATAGAAACTGCCAGTTTGGGCAGAAGCCTCAGCGCTCAGCCCCCAGCTGATCCTGTTCCACACTACTATTAACAGCTTTGGCACAGCTGATTGAACAGCTCTAGGAAATGTGCTGATTAAGGTCTTACCAATGGAGGTCTGGAGCACTGCAGGAGGAGTTGTGCTGTAACACCCGTTGCTCTGCACCCAAAGGAGTAAGCTGAAAGCATTGCAGTTGCCAGGAAAGCCCCTCAGACAAGCAAGCAGCCCTGACCCCAGAGTTGGTGAGCTGTGAGCAGGTAGCACTGAGGTTCACGTCCTGCATCCACGTGCTGTGCCAGCTCTGACACGGACTAGCTACACAGCAGAGCAAACCTGTGGGCATGAGTCTTCCCAGTGGATCTGTACTCCGGGATGCAAAGAGGCCATTTCATGGGATTGAAGATCCACTGTCAGGGATTGGGTTGCAGGTTATAAAGGAGATGAAGAAGTGAGCACTAAGGGGGGGTGAAGGACCACTTAAACTAAGAAACAGCTTAGGAGGCGGGGAAGGGAAACCCAGGCATGAATAAAGAGACCACGGGGATACTGGAGAAGGGGAGGTTGCAGCAGAGCTCCAAAAAGCTGTGGATTTTAGGGGTGCGAGGCAAAGCTGACGGGGGAGGCACCGCTCAGCCACGCGCACGTGGAGCAGCGGGACTGGCGGGGATCTCCCCGGGTACTGGTCACCGTCCGACCGAGCCGGGCAGGAGCCCCCTTCCCTCTCTGTTACAGCCGGGGGCGCGGGGGAGCCCCATCGCCGGGTCTGCAGCGCCCGCAGCGCCCACCTCTGCCCACCAAGGGTGGGGCAGCGCCGCGGCTGCGGGCTAGGGCCGGGCGGTGCGTCCGGCGGGGCGAAACAGCAGAAGGGGAGCCGGCGGCAGGGCCGCTATTCAAGTTTTTACCCCCGGCCCGTTGAGGGCAGGAGGCAGCGCCTGTGGAGCAGCGGCGGGAGCTGCGCTGGAACGGGAACGGGCACGGAGGGAAACGGGGCATCGGCAGTGCCGGGGCGGGGCCGCCAGGGGGCGCCCGTCGGGCCGGCTGCCGCCGCTCCCCGCGGGAGCACCCGAGGACAGAGCCGAAGCTCAGGGGTGAGACTGGAGGATGGAGTCGAGTTTAGGGGTGAGACTCAAGGATGGAGTCGAGTTTAGGGGTGAGACTGGAGGATGGAGTCGAGTTTAGGGGTGACACTCAAGGATGGAGTCGAGTTGAGGGGTGAGACTGAAGGTCAGAGCCGAGCTCAGGGGTGAGACTGAAGGATGGAGTTGAGTTTAGGGGTGAGACTCAAGGAACTCAAGGACAGACCCAAGCACCCAGCCCATCATACTGCCATAAACAGGGACATCCCAGGCATGCACTGCCCTGCCCACT